GTATGGTTGTCCTTCTGGGCTGCTAGCGCACATTGCCGGCTCATGTCCAGCTTTTCATCCACCAGCACCCCCAAGTCCCTCTGGGCAGGGCTGCTCTTGATCCTTTCTTCCCCCAGCCTGTACTGATACCGGGGGTTACCCCGACCCAGGTGCAGGACCTTGCACTTGGCCTTGTTGAACCTCATGAGGTTCACACAGGCCCACCTCTCCAGCCTGTCCAGGTCTCTTTGGGTGACATCCCGTCCTTCTGGTGTGTCAACCGCACCACTCAGCTTGGTGTCATCCGCAAACTTGCTGAGGGTGCACTCGATCTCGCTGTCTTAAGTCATTGATGAAAACATTAAACAGCACCGGTCCCAATACAGACCCCTGAAGGACACCACTCGTCACCGGTCTCCATCCGGACATCAAGCCATTGACCACTACCCTCTGGATGCGACCAACCAGCCAGTTCCCTATCCACCGAACAGTCCACTATTGAGGACTTGATTAATCAATTGTCAATCATTTATTTTATGACAGCATTCATTTTAATGGTAGGGGCGGGTGCATGATTGAGGTAAATTGTACCAGAGGGGAGAAGTGCAACTGGCACGAGGCTCAAAATTTCATCCTGCCCATCAGCTTGCTGCGGCGTAAGCAGCAGGGCGCTGCCTTCCAAGCCAAGCGCACGGGGTTTTCTGTTTGTTGTCGGTCTGAAAGGGAGCGTAGGAGCGGGAGGTGACATGGGGAGTGCGACACTGTGATACGCTCCCACGAAAATCATGAGTAAACTGGGATGGGGGAAGGAAGTAACCATCAAACACCTCAGAACTGGTCTCCCTCAATGACTTCTGCTTTCCCCTACGTCTCTTCTTTTCTCTAGCCAGGATCCCAGTATCGCACCCTTTTCTTCTGTACCTTTTCATCAAGCACTGGTCCTCGAGCCAGAGCCTCCACGCCAGGGCCTCCACGCCAGGGCCTCCTGCCTCACCCCACCGCCAGCAGACCCTGCCCTGCCTGCAGGTCGGGTGCCGGGCTCCGCGCTGGGGCAGGTGCTCCCTGTCTTTGCCTGTCCTTCCCCGGGCAGAGGAGGTGCTCCCTGTCTTTGCCTCTCCTTCCCTGGGCAGAGGAGGGAAGGGCAGCCGGGCTGGCCAGAGGCTGAGGGGAGGTGGCCTTCGGGGGAGAACGCTGCCAAGCTGGGCAGCAATGAAGTGCATTGCCAAGGTGTGCCTCGGGGTAGCAGCACAGGCTCTTCGGTGAGAAGAATGAAAATCCAAACATAGCATTAGAAATCAGTTTAAAAGCCTGACGTCTTGACTTCATGCGTGCCTAAAACAAAGAATAAATGAAACCAAGACACCTCCAAGGAAACAAAGCTGGCTTCCTCCAGCGTTGCCTGCTTTGTTGTCTACATCCCATCTCCACCCCAGCACTCCAAGCTTCCTCATCTGACTCTTGCCGTGCTGCAGCAGACAGATGACGCCTGCCACGGGTGGCTCAGAGAAGCCACCATCCTGGCTGGCCCAACGCTGGCTGCCAAGGGGAGTGGGGCTGCGGATGCCACCCTGTGGGCAGGATGGCCGAGCCCCCCCATGCCCGTGGGGAGGACGGGAATCCACCGCTTAGGCTAGGGATCGCGGAGCCTGGGGGACATTCCCCAGGAAACCCCACAGGAGATGGATTTGCCTCTCTGTAAGTGAACCTTTCAATCTTACCCTGGTAGAGCTTCAGGAAACCCTGATGGTCCGGAGCCCTGACTCCCTGTATCCCTCTCTGACCCAGACCACTTTACCAACCTACTGGTGCTACTTGAGACTTGTCATCCCCCTAGTTTTCCAAGGTGCCCTCCGTCACAGCAGGAGTAGCTCTAAGCCTAGCAGCTGGGGAGAGGCGAGGAGGCCCTTGGGGTTAATTAAGAAATAACTGATGTTTGAAGCTCACCTGTGGAATAGCACTGAGGCTCAGAGATCCTGCAGACATCAGGAGGCAGCACCACATAAGCTGACACAGAATTTCCCTTCAAAACTTCAGAATTGTTCTTTTTTTAATCTGCAAAAGCTGAGCCCACACCAGACAATCTCCTCCCAACCCATGGTGTTTATGGTATGAAAAGCAGAGGCTATAGCTAAGCAGAGAGAAGGAAACGTATTTGTCATAGCACAAAAGCAGTTATGCCGAGAAAACACATGAGAAGAGACAGATTGAGATGGTTTCTTTTTTTTTCTTTTTCCTTTGCATATAAGTGCCTGCTATTACAGCAGTTATCGAATTTCCATTTTACACCTCTGTGCATCAGGGTGTCAGAAAGGCTCACGCAGCATGGAAGAAACCGAAATGAAAAAACTGATCCCCAACCCCATGGTCTCCATGACCTTTTCACCCTGGTTTACAACTGCGGGAAAATAATCCCCTTCAAATCATGCAAAAAATAAGTCTCCAGTTTTTCCTGCAAATGCTGAATGGAGATATTTGCTTTTGGCTTTGCCTGATCCCTGGGACAAGAAGAGTTGCACCGACCGACCTCCCAGCAAACAGCTCGGTATCTGCCCAAGCCTGACCTAATCCCCCTTCCCACGCATGCCCCGCCGGAGGCAACCGAGCTGGATTGAATGGATTTTGCTCTTTCTCATGCCCATGATTTCCCCTGAATACTTCCCATGTGCCATGGGGCTGCTGGGGCATGGTGGGGGCCAGCACCTCCCTCAGCCTCCCAGAGGATGGACCCAGGAGCTGGCTTTGGGCCCAGCCCCCGGCTGCTGCCCCACCTGCACCGGCCCTTCCCCTTACCTCATCGTTTCCAGGTTCTCCAGGGTCCACAGAGAGTCAACCCCGGGAATCTTGGCAAGGGGACGCAGGAGTTATGCTGATACCTTTATGTTTAACAATGTCTGTGCTGGAAGCTCAGTGTTTATGACATTATACTGGAAGGTCGGAGCAGATGATGCCGGGAGAGGGACTTTTCAAGTGTTCATTACACCTGAAAGCGTGCGATCAGAAATCCATTTCTGTTTGTTTCACCGTTTGAGAAAAAGTGCACTTTTTCCTGGAAAGGAAAAGGCTGCATTTCCCATTTTCAACATTTTCTTTTTCCTTTTTTTTTTGTGGCTGTAAAGATCTGAGCCTCACCATTGGAAACACCACCGTCGCTCCTCTATGCCTTGCATGCCGTAGTTCTCTTTACAAACACTGGAAAATATGACCGCGTGGTCAGACACGCAACAGGACATGCAGACAGAACTTCTGTCGTGATTGCCGTGCAGAGGTGAGTTGTGTCACAGGACACCCAAACTCAGGGCAGAACTTGCTGAGACTCCCTGGTTCCCCCCACGGCATCCCAAACCTGCAGCAACAGGGAGACATCCCTCTCCATAGGGATGGAGACAGAGCCCAACAAATTCCTCTGTGTGGACACGATTACAATTCTCAGAAAAAAGAATGAAAGAGAGAGAATATGGCTGCATGGTTTGCATAGGCAGCTGCCGTGTCTTATTTCTCTTAGATGGCATCCTGCCTTTGCATTTGCAGGATGCAAAATACTGAATTCCTTTGAAGGCTGGAGTCCCAGGGATTTCTGAGCATGGCGATGGGGAAGAGCTGGGTCTGAGCCCTGTGGATCAGGTCCGCCTGGCCTGGCAACAGAAGCAGCAGGACCCTACAGCCCCGCTGCCCGCTCTGCAGCCGCAGACGTGCAGCTGCGACAGCCCC